TCAAGCTACCCCACAGCACCCCCAACATAAATCTCTGGCGCCGCCACTGAGCCTGACTATTTGTGTTGGGGGGGGGGGGCCCGACTTTTTTTTTTCTCCAAAGGGGGGGGCCTGACAGATAAAGTTTGAGAACCACTGCCCAGCAAATCTGCCCTTTCAGCAAGCAATGTGGACAAGTTAATTTTTCTTAAAAAAAACATGAAATGACAAGCAAGCAAGTCCTGTGTCAAGCTGGCTTTTTAAGTGAGTACTAGTACAGTACAGTACAGTTCAAGTGCAGATTATTTCAGTTCATCGAAATGCTGCACCTTAATGTTTATTTTATTATATTTTGTATTTATTTGAGTGAATATTCACAGTTTAATAATAATTAAAAACCCAAAATAAATAGTTTATGTTTTGTGAGTACTAGTACAGTAAAGTTCAAATACAGATTATTTCAGTTCATCGAAATGCTGCACCTTAATGTTTATTTTATTATATTTTGTATTTATTTGAGTGAATACATTATTCACAGTTTAATAATAATTAAAAAAGACCCAAAAATATTTTATGTTTTGTGATAATTTTTTCTGCTGTACCGAAAACATACCGAACCGTGACCTAAAAACCGGGGTACGTACCGAACCGAAATGTTTGTGAACCGTTTCACCCCTACGAATCAATAGATTAAATATCGTGACTATAACACAAAATGCCGTGAGACTGGGTTGCATTTTGTCACAGACCTTCTCAAGTGTTTCCTTTTTTGCGTTGTCTTGAATCCGCTGTGCAGCAGTGTGTCCATTTGATTCTTTGTGTTTAATAAAAAAAATTCTGAGGGACGTCAACATGCCGCTCTTGTCTTTTCCACTTTAAGCGATGGTGTATGAACACAATTCATCTGCCAATCGTGAACCTTGCGCTTTGAAGACTTATAAATCCGTAATGGATGAACAAACTTTGCAGCCCAGTTTCCCAGCTTTGCAGTCTGTCCACGGGTATGCCTCTTGTTTCCTCTGCCACATCTCCTCCGTCCATGCATCTGGGAAAGGTGAGCTTGAGCTAGCCAGGGGAATGTTGCTAGCGCAGCTAACGTTAACTTTAGTGCTAGTATTATCCACTTCTTTAGGCGGCTCTTCTGATGATGTAGTACTAGTAGTAGCTTTTTTTTCTTCTCGCAAATTATAATCTTTTTAGAAAAGAAGTAAAGTAAAAAATGTTTGCCTGCCATTATAGAGCTGTTTCGTTTTCGTTCTTGAGGCAAAGAGCTGCTGCAAAATCGGCGGGTTGCGAGCTGGGGTCACGAGCGTGATGACGAATCATACTTTTTTAAGGAAATCGTTTTTATTATAATTACTGTGAAATGTATTATGTTTTTGTCATTATTACAACAAATACACACTTGCAACTGATAACACTGCCAATGATTTTATATTTATTAGTCTATTAAAAAAAAATCATGCTTCAAAAAAGTCGGGGCTCCAAATAAGTGGGGGTACGGCGATCCCCCGCGTCCAACGACCACTACACCACTGGCCACTGAACATACTTATATTTAAACATGTACTGCCTGGAGTCAGCCATTTTCCACCAAAGATTTTGGAAATTGGTCCTTGCGCAAAGCATTGTGGGGCTTTTAAGACTGCAGAGGATACACATGTGCATCCTCGAAATTGGAACAGTCCTTCGGCGGGATTCGATGACGTAGCATCACGTAGCATCCTTGAAATAGTGGCTCTGAAGGATCCTTCCTTGACATTGAGAAACACCTATAGCAGTGAGGCGTCCTAAAACCCGGAAGTAAGCTTCTTCCGGTTCCCTCGACAAAAAAGCAATGCAATTTCTCTATAGGATTTTCGAAATAAGGTCTGTGGTTGACACACATTTTAAGAGACGGATCACGTTTTGTTCAGTCGGATAAACTCCACATGTCAACCCTACTTTTATAATGTTCGAATCGATAGATTTATGATTAGAAAATTCTTCTCACTCTATTCCGGTGTGAACGCGATCTACTAGATAGTTGCGGAACTAAAGATTTCCAGGGAACTAAGTTCTGGGAACTATTCCTGGGAAAAGTGCTTAGTGTGAAAGCGCCTATTGAGTACTTTTATTCCTAATACTTTTGAGTACATTTGACTAATCGTCCTTAATTACTTTTACTTAAGTACCATTCTCCATGCAGTACTTTTACATGAAATCGAGTATTTTTACAGTAAGCTGATATGGAGGAGAAAGTTTGCTATTATATTATTTAACTATCTTTATAGGGTGAAGTCATTTTTGTGTTGTATTCTTGGTATAAAGTACACAGAGGAAACATCAGTTTAAATGCTGAAATGTTTTTTAAACTGCTGGTAATTTTTCATTATGCTGAACAGGAGCTTATCTTTTTTTCGTTCTTCTTCAGTATCATTTCAATTTACTGTATGATTGAGGTCATTTTCAGCATTCATAGCTGGACAATCATTTTTGAAAGAGCATGTGGAGACAAATACAGTAAATATAAATGTACATGTATAACCCCATACAGAACAATAGGTACTGTCTCTAAATGTTCTTGATGTGATTGTTGTTTCAGGACTGGAGATTGGACTCACTCCTCGGCATGACACCATCACCTTTGTTGTTTCTGACGGAGAAACAGAGACCTCTCATCCATGTTGCGCCGCAAAACCCCCCCCCATGACCAGAGACTTGCCTCAGCTGCGACCCAGTCTGCCTGTTTACGATCTCAAGGTCACCGTGTTTCCAGTCGACAGCCAAACACCTTCTCTGGCAACAGGTGGGCCTTTTCCAGTGGTGGAAGATACTCAGGTTTTTTACCTCTACATTTGAAGTACTCTGTTAAGTAAAAGTCCTGCATTCAACATCTAACTTAAGTAAAGTACAAAAGTATCTGCTTAAAGAACTCCTTATGTGTAATTGCTGATTTCAGAATCGTATATAATGTATATTGAGTCACTGGGTTATTATTGTGATCATTGCTGTGTTCCTATCACAGCTATTAAATGTCAAGCAAATTGGATTTACTTTATATACTGCTGCTGGATATCTTAACCTATCATTATGTCAATGTTCATTTAATAAATTATTTAAAATATGTATAAGCTAATGATCTTAAAGTTGTCAAATTAAAGTAGTGGAATACAAAGTGCAAAATTAGCTTGTAAAATGTAATGTAGTGGAAGTATAAAGTAGCAAAAACTGAGAATACCTAGGTAATGTCAAAGTACCTCGAAATTGTATTTAAGTACTGTGCTTGAGTAAATGTACTTTGTGACTATCCACCACTGGCTATTTCTAAATCAGTGAAATGGGTAAATATGTTATTAAGCAAGTTGTTTTGAAACTATACCATGAATATTTGTTAACAGCTGTTTATTTAATTGAACAAACATTTGGTGTGACATACTGTACAGTATGTGAACCTACTACAGCAAAATGTCTAAAAGTCAGCCGTTTCATTGTGGCATACTATGTTGTTTTGTGAAAAAAGTAGGCGAGCCATCATGTTAGCAGTGGATAAAATGACTAGCTTGTAAAGGGGGACTTGAGGTTTTGATTCCTCTTTTAGCTCCATGTTTTGGCAACAAATCCCAATATCCCTTAAACATGGGCAAGGACCAAAACAAAGCTTAAATATATTTGAATATTAGACTTCAATTCTGCAGTCAAATCTTTGTTCACATGTTAATTGGCCTAGTTTAGTCATTTTAATTGCATTAAACCGAATTGAAACACACACAAAATATAATTTTAGACCAGAATTTTAAGGCACAATTCACTATTGTAAAGGAGGAATTACTTGGCCTTAAATGCATTGATAGAAACATTATTTGAAGCTTCAAATAATTGTAGTTGGCCTACCACCAATACACAAGTATTATGCTTAGATGGCCAATCATTTAATGTAGACTCCAGGCAGTGTGCTGGGATAAAATCTATTACAGCACATCAGCGCCCTACACAGAGCCCAGTAAGCTGACTTTACAATAAAGGCAGCCAGAATTATTTTCAAACCAGTCGTCATAATGCTAATGTGGCCCCCGATGAAATTGATTTGGAAACCCCTGTTTTAGCATGATTTGTCCTTTTTGTTTACAGGAGACATCTTTTCTGTAGATGAGGGGGGGTCTGCCCCTATCACTGCTTCTCATCTGAAGGCCTCTGACGTGGACACTGTTCTGGACCAACTGGTGCTCAGTCTGATTTCCCCCCCCCAGTTTGGCTACATTGAAAATGTCCTGCCTAGTCCTGGCTTTGAGAAAAGCAACACAGGCATAAGCATAGGTAAGCATTATCATACATTCAATGATCCTCAAATAGGTGAAACACATTGAATATAACATGTTTTTCACACACGCACAAGCACACATCCAGCACCAGACACTTTTTTTTACGCTGCTATGAACAGTTATTTGCACTACAGAACTACTGAACTTATTGTATATATATTTGTGCTATTGTCATATATTCATCCAATTAGAAGTCACCCATATCCGTTCCAATTTAGTGTGTTGACTGCTATTTATATATATTTACTGTTGTGCCTTCTTTTTCAATTGTATACCTCTTAATCTGTGTATATGTATATATCTGTACATATCTGTATATATCTGTATGTATATATATATAGAGAGAAGTTGACTCTGACTTGACTTTTTTTTGACTAAGTTCTGACTTCCTTCTCCCCAGCTTCCTTTTCCTACCAAGATATCCTGGACGGCCATATTAACTACGTCCAGTCCAGGCATCAGAGGATGGAGCCCACAGCCGACCAGTTCCTGCTCTGTATATCAGACGGAAAACACAGCTCTGCCCACGTCCCCTTCTACATCATCATCAACCCCACCAACGATGAGATCCCACAGTTTGTGGCTCGGAACATCACAGTAAGTTACACAAGACAAATCACATCTGTTCCCAGCATGTGGTCCAGTGTTTGATTATGTCCTTCTCTGTTGAGGTACGAGAAGGAGAAATGAAGCAGTTGGACATGTCAGTTCTACATGCGTTGGATCTGGACGTTCCTCAGGACATTCTGCTCTTCAGTGTGGTCAAACCCCCCCACCACGGCAGCATCATCACCCTCAGCAGTGAGAGGAAGATCTACAAGAGACAAGAGGCCGCTCATCAGTCCCCTGTGGTCGACTTCTCAATGACAGATCTCTCTAATGGTACTTTTCACATGTCAGTTATATTGCCTATAGTCTCACCTATAAGACTCAAATGAACATTGAAATTAAAATGCTATGAGTTACAAATTGTTTCAATTTGAATGTGGTCTAGGTTTAAGCTACATTTAGTAAATGTTGTATTTTTTTGTAAAGGTTGTGTAACTTTGCATTCCTTTTACAGCTTTAGTTACTTTTTATTTAGGTTATAAATACAAATCAACACACATTACTATATATTATTATAGGTAAAGCTATCCAGTAGTGTATAAAGTGGGGTTTATTGGAAATAATTCAAATAAGGCCCACTTTTACCAAGTGCAACATTACAGTGATGAACACATTTTTATTTTATGTAGCCTTTATTTATACAGGTGTAAAATCTCACCTGTTGCTTCTTCCACGTCTGACTTTGGGTTACAAATAATTTCAGTGTATTTGTGGTCTAAATGTAAGTAATAAATACTAATGCTGGATACTTGTCTTGTGGTTGTGGGAAAAGAAAGCATTTTAGTTCCTAATTGGAAACCTCAGCTCTCAGACATTTAAGGGACAACATGTTTCTGACTTACATGTAGTGCCATGTATCACTCTAGTTTGTTTTGGTGTGAGTTTCCAAGTGTTGGGGATAGTGTCCATAGCTATGCCTGCCTTATTTGAAATATAATTGAACTAGACAGGACTTGTCTTGCGATGTGTGCCAAACAATAAATAAATAAAAAACACATTTTCTTTTTCCAAAAATCATAACCCAGCTATTCACAAAAATTCACAGAACTTGTAGTGAGCCGTTTCATTTAGGAACTACTGTATTACTACTTAGCGTACATGTACACATGGATCGCTTGGGACAGCATATATTGAAAACATTAAAGGGGTCCTCTTTGGCTTTGCTGTCATGTTAGCTCATGAGGCTCTGGAGGGCTATGAACTAGGATCAGATTTTTTGGAAAAATAAAACAAAACTTTTTTTTTTATAAGCCTTGTGCAGCTTAAAGATGAGGGCAAAATAATAATTTGTGATGAATAACAATTTATACAAGTTCCTGGAATCTGGTGTCACCACCAAGATAATAAATGTGCCTTTGATTTGTTTTTTATCACATCAACCATTCTCCACTTATTTACGATTCATAGCATGCTATAATGGCAGGAAATAAATCAGTCAGAATTCCTTCACACAGAGGGGACATTCACATACAATTAATTAAATGAAACAAAGCTTGTAGGATAATACTATAATTTAACTCTAAATATAGCATATTTCTAAAAGACAAATACATCTGTTGTATCATTTGCATGCAGGTATGGATCTGATGTACATGCACGACGACTCAGAGAACATGGAGGATAGTTTCACCCTCCAGCTGACGGATGGCAGGCACCAGCTCCAGAGGCGAGTGGTGGTGATGGTGCTGCCGCTCAACGACGAGGAGCCTCGCGTCGTCCGGTCAGAATCACTGCACTTTCTGTTTATTAATCACCAATATTAACCGGTGGTGCACATTTACTAAGTAAATATACTAGTACTAAACTTAAGTAAATTTGATATGATCTGTACTTTACTTGATTATTTCCCTTTTATGCTACTTGATACCCAGCTACAATTTGTAGGCAAATATTGTACTTTGTACTTACTACTTTAACATGACATCATTAGTTACTTTGCCCGTTTATATTATTTATTAACAATATAAATCAACTAATGAATTATGATGTACTATTAGGGGTTAGGTTGCCAGGAGAATAATAAGTCACAAAACTAGCTCCATATTTATTAGCTGCAGGGAAGAAAAAAAAATTTTGCATTACTAATTATAATCCAGTGACATAATAAACATTATTAAGAAAAGGGCCTATTTGCATAATAGTACTTTTACTTTTAGCACTTTAACTATACTTTGGTTCTAATACTTTTGCACATATATTTTACTTGTAACAGAATATTTCTACATTGTATTACAAATACTTTTACTTAAGTAAGAATCTGAGTCCTTCTCCCAGCACTGATATTAACTGAAAATCATCCCATCGTGTGTCCTTCAGGAACAACGGCCTGGAGGTGGAGCCAGGAGAGAGCCGGCTCATCTCCAGTGCCACTCTGTTAGCTCAGGACGAGGACACGCCTCCTTCTGAGGTCCTGTACATGCTGGAAAATGTTCCCACCCAGGGACTGCTTCAGCTGAAGGTTGGTGCATTGCTGTCCAACTGAAGTCATGGAAACACTGTAACATGTACATTTCAGCACCCTTGGTGCCATTGTTCCACATTGACACTTATTCTGAAGGCTAACGCGTTAATCTTAAATGTGAGAAAAAAATTGAATTTACACCAGTTCTAAAGCAAAATTACAAAAATATATTTTAGCTTTATTAGAGATGATCTTTTCCACCCACTGCAACCGACTATACTAGCTGGTGAGTAATAGAGTAGCATCATTTGTTTTGGTTATAGTCAGAATTAGGGCTATCGCGATATTAGAATTACACAACTAACATTTTGTTACAATGTTATTGTGATAACCAAACACAACCTATTGAGTGTAAGAAGCTGGAGAAAGACTATGAAGCAATAACTACTGACATTTTAGAAGCACTGGATTATTTATGATATTATCATGTGTATAATTGTATCATAAATTGTTAAAAATCTGTTAAAGAGCTAAAGATTTTTTTTTTTTTTTTAAAACATTATTATTATTATGTTATTTTTTATCATTTGTATAACATTATTTATCTCTATTCAATATAAATATAAGACACAACAACTTTTTAGCATAATGGGTACTTTTACTTTTGATACTCTAAGTCAGGGATGGGCAACTGGTGGGGGCCACATAATTTATGTACTGGCCACCAGGGGGCCGCAGATTCACTTGGAACACACACACACACACACAAATTCCATGTATTGTATGTAATTATTAACTTGGTTTTTAGAATATTAAACTTGTTTCGCCAAATTCAGATGATAAATACAACTTTGAAGCTTGTAACGGCATAATTACAAGCGGTAACTTAATGTCACAGCAGGCATAACAACAGCCGGTGTTTCTTGTGAGTGTTTCCCCGGGAAACAAACACAATACACACAAACGCGTCACAGATTATTTCGCTGACGAACAGCAGCCAAATACCGCAACATTTATTAATTACGTTGTTTATAAATCAATCAGAGGGCCGCAAAAAGAGGATGCGCCCCCTGTGCCGCTATTTGCCCATTCCTGCTCTAATTACATTGTTAAGTATTGTTACTTGTAGTGCAATATTTTGGGTCTGGCATTGGTATTTTTACATTTTTATTCAGTTGGACACAGAATGTTTGCACAGGGAATTATCTACTTCAGACTTCTAAGTTATGTTTGTGTCATAGTTTCCCAAGAGAGGTTTCAGTATTTATTCAATTTAGTCGGGATTCCTCTAGACAATGCTGCTCTGTAGTGACCCTGGAAGGTGTTTGCTCCTGCCTCAGGAAGGTGAGGACTGGAAGACCCTGACGGCGGTGAGGAACTGCAGCCAGGAGATGGTGGACATGAACCTCCTGCGCTACATGCACACCGGCCTGCACGGCGCTCACACACAGGACTTCTTTGTCTTCTACTTGTTGGATGGGAAGAATCAATCACCCCTACAGCACTTCCACATCTCTGTCAAAGATCTGGAGAAAGGTACAGGAATTCACCCTTACATTCTTCATTAGACATACGTTGCGGTCAAACTATCAACTATCAATAATCTGTTCCTAACCACTTTTCCTTAACCTCTATGAGGAACGTCACGGGGTTAAGGTAAGATGATAGGGGAATTCATCTGGATTTAGGAAAAGAGACTGCGGTGCTTTGAGAATCCAACTGTACTGATACTATCTGACGTATTTATGATGCGCCGGCCAGAGGATGTTATTAATGTGCGTCTGCTGTGGGGAAACTACAGTTTTCCATTTTTAAATAAATGCAATGTTATGCAATATATGTATTACTTGTTAGGCTTTCACATCTATCACTGTGTGTATCACCATTCAAACACATTTAAAAAAGTTGAACAAACCCCACACAGCTCAGTAAACACTGGAATGTTGACTTTATTTGATCATTTCAGTAAAAGAGTAACGCTCTATTTTACCTTTTGATTATTATAGTGTTGAACGTTCAAAACACAGCACTTTGTCAAGTTACGGCATAAGTTGTAAAAGCACCTTAACTTTCATGATATACGTTTCTCTGTTGTTTCCGTGAACGGCCGAATGTTTTGTTACGGTAAAAGTTGCTGCAAGTATTGTGGGGCAGCATTTTCTTCTTTCCTTTCGTAAAGGAGAGTTCAGTGTTTCCTAAGCTAAAGGATATTCTAAAGGAGACGCCTTTCCTATCGTCTAGAGAATCCGAACAGCTATTATCATGGCAGACACTTGGTCATTTCACTCCGTTAGGAACCCTGCTATGCTAAAGATTGACAATTCGAATGCAACCATAGCTTCAAGCTGCCAGGCCACATCATGTTTCCATGTTCCAAGTTGTCAATTAAAACTGATGGGGTTCCAGTCGTAACATTATAAAACTCCACCTTCATTTCCAGGAAATATTGCCATGTTTGTGAAGCCTTTGAAGGTCAGCCGTGGCGATCGAGTGGTTCTCACCACAGACGTGCTGTTAGCCACAGACGGCACAGAGAAGCCAGAGGAGCTTCTGTTCATCATCACCCACCCTCCTGCTCACGGACACATGGAGTACATCAAACATCCGGGACTGGCCATCTCCACCTTCAGCCAGATGGATGTAGCAGCCAACCTTGTGGCTTACGTGCATGACAACCGAGCAACCACCCCCAGAGAGAGCTTTCAGTGAGTCTGAAAGACATACAAGATTATGAACTCACAATATTGTTCCCTCATTTAACATAGTTTTGATGTTATTTGGGCTTGAGCATTCCCATTTATTATTCAGAATTGGATGGATTGGTGGATAGTAACAAAGTACATTTACTCAAGTACAGTAGTAGTTTTTAATTTACCTGTGTTTTCTCACTTTATGCTGCTTTATACTTCTACCCCCCTACATTTTGGAGGCCAATACTTTACTTTGTACTCCACTACATTTATTTGACAGCTTTTGTTACTAGTTATTTTTTAGATTTAGGTTGTTAGCTTATACAAAATATAAATACATTATTAAATAAACATTGACATATTATTATATATTCAGCAGCAAATGTCATGTAATTCAAATTAGCTCTACATATACCAGCTGTGATAGAAACACTTCAAAATCACAATAGTAACCCAGTGAATCAATCTATATATGATTCTGAAATGGCCATTATGAATAAAGACGGGTAATTTTACTTTTGGTACTTTAAGTATATTTTAATGTTGATACTTTTGTTATTTTACTTCAGTAAGATTTTAAATGCAGGAATTTTACTATTTTAATTTTAGCAGTAATGCTACTGTGCAGCAGTAGCACCAATAAATATTTCACTTTGCACCACTGCTTGCATATAATACTTTATTTTCGACTGTGTCCTACAATAAACCCTTAAAATAATTATAAGTATGTAGAAGTTGGATTTATTACCAACTCCCAATAATTGGGAAGAGCCCCTGACAATTATGTACTTTCAATCATCAAAAATGAAAAGTTAAAATAGAAAGTTGAGTGAAATGGAAAGAGACATAACCATTTAATCCTAAGTAAATCAAGTAGTTTATCATCATTCTTCACTGAATATATCACCAGACAAGATCATCAGGGGCCCAATTTCAAAGCTTCCTTGTTAAAGAGTTGCTCCAGGTTCTAGGAACATTCCTGGAATGTTGGTCTTTTCTAAGAATTGAAGACTAAATCCTGGTAAAGGTCAAAGTTACTCACAGAGCATCTTAGCCTTTAGTAGAGCTCCTAAGGTGAACAACTCAAACTGTCTTTTAATCTGCAGTAATCATGTAATCAATGCTGTGGATGTACATGTCATACTTTCATGACAAAAATCTGAAATAAAAATAAAATAATATGCTAAATAATTAGCAGCACATTGATTCCAAGATTTTTTTAAGTATTGCACTAGCTATAAGACAGACATAACTGTTTAGTAAAGAGTATTGATACCCTATTCAAAGCTTTCCTGTGAGAACATTCCTTACTGTGATCACATTTAACGGCACATGTTTGGCAGGTTCGTTGTGAGTAACGGTAGAACCAGCCGGAATGGAAGCTTTGAGATGTTGGTGGAGATGGTGGATCGCATCCTACCCTCTCTGTCCTCAAACAAAGGCCTCTCAGCTCCACAAGGCTCCTCCATGATCCTGGGTCCAGACTGCCTGATCCTGTCCGACCCCGACACTCCCCCGCGTGCCCTGACCTTTGAACTGGTTCAGGCTCCACAGTACGGCAGGCTGCTTCTAGCTGGTTCCACGCTGACTGCAGGTTCAAACTTCACCCAGAGGGACATCCAGGAGCTGGAGGTGACCTATAAACACGACGGGGGGCCATCCCAGATCGACCGCTTCGCCTTCACTGCCTCTGACACCACCAGGCGGGGCTTCCTGCTGGAGGGGAGGCTACACACTGAACCTGTGTTCTTCACTATTCAGGTAATAATAATAATTTCAATTTCTATAGCGCCTTTCACAAAACCCAAGGACGCTTTACAATGGGAAGTGACAAAACAAAACAAAAAAGGGTAATAATAATCATACAGATACATAGGCTATGGAACATGTACCCAGGTCATTTACTTAAGTATAAGTACCGATACTACAGTGTAAGAATACTGAGTTACAAGTAAAAGTCCTGCATTCCAAATCGAAATTAAAGTGGACCTATCATGCTATATTTGAAATATATATTGTAGGGCCATACCTATACAAAACATGTCTGTGAAGTTTTTTTTTCAAAATACCAAACAGATCACCCATTATAGCCATGCCTCATACTGCTCATACCCCTCTTTTGAAGCCCTGTTAGAGAAACGCGGACCTTGGGTCCTTAGCTTGAATAAAAAGAAAGAAGAGGAGGCGGAGCTAATGCCTGATCAGAATTCTACCGGAGATAAAGTTAAATTCTGCTGTGATAAAACGCTATCCTGTTTAAACCACATCAAGGATTATTTCTGGAACAGTATGGTGCTCAAATGCTTTTTCTCTGGCAGGTTTATCACGAAGTGAGTTCTTTTTTTATTTCCTGCTTTTTAAACACATGTGCTCTTCAGTACAGGTTAGCTCTGAGTGTTAGCGAGGCTTGCTAATGTAAAAAAAGACGAGATTACGTCCAAAACACGTCAGCCATTGTTTCTGATAGCAACTTTCTGTGGGTCCGTCATTTGACATCAGTTCGGATGGAATCTGTATCCGCTCGTTGTACACCCGTTTTAAAAGATTTACGGAGGAAAAGAGAGAGGGTTTTATGTTCTGGCGCTGCGTGAGTTCCCCGACGCACTCGGGACACATATTTATGCATAAAAGACATCACAAAGTGTATTTCGCATCATAGGTCCCCTTTGAGCAAAAGTAAAACAAGTATTAGCATTAAAATATACCTTTTAAGTACCAAAAGTAAAAGTAATCCTTATGCAGAATGGTCCATTTAAGCACCATATCTTATTATTGTATTATAATTATTGATGCATTCATATATTCATCACTTCATTGTTGCACTACCCTATAACAATACTGTATATGATGATGTATTTATTGATTTACATTGTGTCTTAATAAGCTAAATCTGCAAAGTAACTGGTAAATAAATCTGTAGAATAAATGAAGTGGAGTAAGAGTACATTGTTTGTTGGAGTAAAGTGTAAGAAATACCAAAATAGGCTAAATGTGTGACGTAAAGGTGAAGTGGGTCTGTTAACCTGTACAAGGTTACATTAATGTTCTTTCTAGGACTATAAAGTCATGTGTCACAGAAGTGTTCGCCAGCTTTCTTTTTACATTATACTTATATGCAGTGTTCGAATTACCCATTTGCTTTCGGGGGAGCCCTATTTATTTATTTTTTTGGCAATCATATAGGCAGACCTGAAAGATGTATATGTTTCCTGCATTAGGTCAATATTGATTGCCAATAGGCCTACCTTGTTTGGTAGGACATATTTTTTTCTCGATCGCTTTTTCGTGTGCCTGGCTCTTAGTGCTTAGAAATCTTTTTCCGCAGGTTATTCTGTTGATCACAGCTGACTTTTCCCTGAATCAATTCTTGTGAAAGGTCCACAAAGGTGGATTTTTTTGCGAGCGGCAGGGAGATCAATATACTTTTTGTCTCTTTGCAAATCTCACATCCACATTTTTTATTGTTTTTGAAAAGCCATGGATAACTTTCATTCCACTCACTCCATCTTTTCTGTGTCCAGTTAAAAGGCAGGTCATGGGCAACGTCAGGTTCGCTAGTGCAGGTTGCATCGGCGGCTGTGGCCGTTGTTGAAGCCTCTTCAGGCTCCACATCGGCAGGCCTCTCCCTCGGTGTGGAGCTGTCAAACTCGACCCTAACGCCGCTTACAGCCGGCCAACTAAGAGTTGTTCCGTTCACGTTGTCATTTTTAGACTCCTTCGCTTCTTTGCTTGTGAATCCAAAAGCTGCGGGGCTTGGCTGTTTTCGTTTTGCCATATTTTTTATTACAAAGCCAGAGTTAAAAAAAATATCAGTATGAAAATATCAAATACCGCGCCAGCTTCGCCTGCCGTAACCATAGCAACATAAGAAGCATAAAGAATGCAGCGCCGCCATGTACAGATGGCAACACCCAGAAATATTCACAAATATAAAACAAATATTCAGAAACTGACAATGACAATTATGCACTGTATCAGTGTGCAATTAAAAAAACAAACATCGTTCAATTTGTGTTTTCGTATAGATTATGCTACATAATTTTAGGTCCAAACTTCTCTATTTTCTATGCTGTTTATGTTAACCAATCTTTATTTCATCGACAAACCATATATCATTTCAGATCAAGCCTTTGGACAATACCTATCCTGAGGTTGTGAAGCTGATCCCTCTTTGGAAAGCAGAGCCTCTTGGCGACGGACGACACGGGATCTTTGTGTCGTCTCGTGAGCTGAAGGCCCAGGACAGAGACAGCAGAGACGACGAGCTGATAGTCAGCATCGTGCGCCAGCCGTACTTTGGATACCTAGAAAACATGACTACAGGTCAGGAATCAGAATACAAATCAGAATACCTTTATTTGTCCCACAGAGGGGACATTTACATTGTAACAGCAAGAAAAGAGCCAAAGACAGCTTAATATTAATTAAGAAGCATGTATAAACTATTAAAGATACAAGTAGAAACAATTTACGATTTACAAAATACCAGTAACAGTTGTGAGATAGGAGCAAGGTGATAGTATTAAAGGTAGAAGTATATATTGCACAGTTATTGACCGATTTATTACTCAAGTTGAGTTGTCTAACTAAGGGAAAGGAGCCAATAATAAATATTATATTTATGAAGCCAAATATACCTTATTTCCACGTCTTAGCTTAGAATGAAAAACACATATATTTGTTTGTGCTCTTGAAGGTGGTTTTGTACCACATCGCTTCTCTCAGACGGAGCTGAGTAAAAGGACGATCGCCTACATCATCAACCCCCACAGGGAGTCCCTTACAGACAGCCTGGAGTTCACAGTGTCCGATCCTCTAGGGAACACTGGGCCCCCTCACATGTAAGAAATACATTGGGACATTGATTCTTACTCAGAGCTTGAGTTCACAGTTGATTGTTTGGTCTTGACATTGCCTTGCAGACTGAAGTTCAGCTGGTCCACGGTGGAGCTGTCTCAGCCTGAGTACTCTGTCAGTGAGGAGCACAGAACTCTTTCGCTGGACATCATCCGAAAAGGAAACCTGGCAGAGTCTTCATATATCACTGTCAAGGTCTGAAAGCCACTGCTCTTAACTTCCTAATGCTTGTCCTCTTCTTACAGACTTTAAGAGAGCTTTCTGTGTCATGTTTCTTTATCGTAGGTGGAGGAAGTGAGTGCAACAGCTGGAACAGATTTCCTCATAAGCCCCTCTTCCCTCATTCAGTTTGATCCAGGTTTGTCCTCATTTATTATATTTATTATTTATGCATAAAGTAATTTGACTTAACATGGTTAGTTCTTCTAGCCATCCTTTAGAAAGCCCTCTGTGGCCTCGGACTAGCACTCACTAGTCTAAGAAATGTAACTTCATGATGTCATCAGGGTTATTCAGGGCTTGGAGATGACAACATTTCAACAAAAAGCCTTTGTTTCCACCAAGGGGCGTTGATCTCGAAATATGTCAGAAATTCTCCGGCAGGGTATAGCTAAAGATACTACAGATGTGCATTGTGGGAAGTGTAGGATCCAGTGTTATAGTGCTTGACCCACACTAGCAACTTGATCAGTTACAATGGAAATAATGCAGCTTTAATCAATGGTAATGTTTTTGTAACAACAGATGGTCATACTCTATAAGGGAGGAGATGATATGTCATATTGATCTTTATATGATACCATAGAGAGCCAGATAGCAATACACTCCTCATATCCATCCATGGTAAACCGAAGGAGAATGGTTAGATTTCATTCCTAGAACCGAAGGAGAATGGTTGGATTTCATTCCTAGACATGTGTGTTTTGTTTTTAAATGCTGACTGTAGCGTTATGACGACATTGTACACAAAGCTCTTTTTGCCTCTTAAGATCACTTCTGATCACAACATTTGAGAAGTAAGCTAAAAAAGCAGGTCACATTTGTAGTACTAGAGTACTAGATGTGGATGAAAAAGCCCAAATAAGCAAAAATGTGTGTAAAAATGTAAGACTGTTACTTCTACAAATAAAACTATAATTCATGTCAGTTATTCAAAGTCTTCTTCAAAATATAAGCTTTACAACAGGCACGGTAAATGAGAAATTAATCAGCTTTAGTAAAACGTGTGATGTTTCTGTCTCTGTAGGAGTATCAAAGAGGAGCTGGCAAACTGAGATTATCCAGGACCACCTGGAGGAGGCGGTGGAGATATTTGAAGTGCTGCTGGTGTCCCCTGAAGGCTCGGTGATCGGCAGCATCAACAAGGCTCAGGTCCAAATCAGAGACTCGGGAAGAAGTAAATATACCTAATTTTCAAGATTTTATAAGATACTTTTCGACATTCCATTAATTGATATTATCAATTTGTAAATGCTTTCTTACCAAACAAACATTCTAGATTACATATTTTAATGAATTCATCTATTTTTCATGTCCTGTATAACATAACTACTTAGAGAGTTTAGGATTTCCTAAAGACACTTACAAAACTCTGTCAAAACTTAAAACGCAACAGGACAGACCTGGCTGAACCAGGATCCAAAGGCTCCTGTTCTGGTAGGAAAAGAGATTGGATCAGACACCTACCCCCAGCATGGATCCATTCATCTGGAGAAACTGCCCCTGGGAACAGAATCAATCATCTGGGGCCGTGGAGACAGTTTATCCAGGCCTGCTGCAGATCGGCCAAGGAAGAAACTCAAAGTTCTGGACAATCCAAAATCTGTAAGCCCCTGTTCTTAAAGATCAGAACTATATGTAACTGTATCAAGTAGACATTTCACTTTTTGTTGCAGCACAATTTTTCCAGCTTAAAACTGTTACTGTTTCATTTTCAGATTACCCCATCGTCAGTGTTCCACAACGGGACAGACACTGTTTACACGGTATGCAGCAGCAGATCATCATAACAGACAGTATAAGTCAGAAGAGTCTTAAAGATACCATACACTGCTAATTTTCAGGTTCTGGCAGCACCTCTTTTCACCCTCTGTCTGAAACCAGAGCCCAGTCTGCTCTGTTTGGTTAGCTGGCCGGCTCTGTTGTGATTGGTCAATTGCTAAGAGAGCTAAGAGCACTAGCCAATAGAAGAGCAATTGTTACTTAGTGATGTCCCTATGTTATTAAAGTAAATAAAGGAATCGAATGGAGGTGTTTCAGGCAGGGGGGCATGCACAAAATCCAATAGAACAGACTACAAGAAAGATAAAAATGATAGGGCTTCTTTATTCCTGCTGTCTCTTTTATTACAGTATCATGGCATCATGCAAATGCAAGTAGAGGACGACACCACCCCGTCAAGGAAGGGAAGAAAGGCAAACATCCGTGTGGTTAGCAGAGGAGCACAGCAGCAGGGGCCAGCTGTGTTTACTAAGTCCAAATCAGATCCTAAAACAAAGATCTCTAAACCTCAAAAAACAGCAGCTGAAGGACCAGTGAGTACAAAGTTAGTCTTCTTCTACCTCTTGGGTAATGTGTCATTTTAAATCAGCAATTGCCTTGAAGCCACATGGAGTTGCTTAATCCTAAAATTGCCGTTTGTTTCACTGCATTCCTTTGGTTTGATATTGTGTTCATGGCTGCTTATTTCTGTTCTAGTATTTGAAAGAAAGGGATTTTTTTCCCCTCAGCAACGAGTATTGAATGACTTTTATAGATGTAGGGATATGCTCTATAATGACCTTAACTCGTTTGATACTTTCTATGTCCTACTCAGCACTTCCACAGTTTTAGGATTGATGATTGTGGTAAAACATATTGCAAAGCAGAACTAAACATATGTTCCTGTACTTTTGTACCGCTCACAGGCTGATAACTCTGTACCCAAGCCCTGTGTACCAGAACTGATTGGAGTCCTGTATTTAAACCAGACTACCAATCAGCTGTTTCACTGCAACGGTATCTCCTGGAAACCCTGGGCACCAAATGATCAGGTAATAAAACTCCACAACGAAGAAACACACTTTAATGCACTAGCTTCTTTGTATCTCTGGTGAGAAGATGTCTGACCGTGACAATATTTTCAAATCTTACAATTGTGTTCTACTTATGTTCCTTATATAAAGTTGCAAAGTTTGATCACAATGAAAGTATTTCTTGAACCTTTTGGAAATAGAGAAGTATATCATTCAGTGTTGTCAGCATAGCGATGAAAATCAAAAAAGAATTCTCCAAATGAATGATGTTAATGTCTGAAAACTAGTGGATCTATGATAGAACCCTGTGGATCTCCGTTTTCCATATGAAATGTTTGTAAATAATATTTGTGAATCATTTGACAATTTTGCTTGAAAGATGTTGATGGACCGCTAAAATTATTTCCTAAGTGAATTAAATGTTTATCTACAAATGACAACATATTTGCCCCTTTCACACAGAAGATGAGTGGTCAGAAGTGTCCTCAGGGCTGGACCTTTCACAGTGGCCACTGCTACAGCCTCAGCACTGAGCACAAGGTCACATGGAGCGCAGCCAACAGGGCCTGCAGGGAGAGGTATGATCAGTGTACTAATGGAAAACAAACAGGGAAAATGAGGCCTAGAGTGTGCATATACATGCTTCTGATAAGTTGTCTGTCACACATAAAAACGATATCATTTGAATTCTATGCACTATCCTTAAGTTTAGAATACACAACTCTCCCACTTGTATTTTTTATTACAGATATAAAAGCACTCTAGCAAGCGTTCTCTCTAAATTGGACATGGACTGGCTTTGGGACTTTGGAGGAAGGAAACCATTTTGGATTGGTGGGTATCTTTCGATCACTTGATGCTACACTAGAGCTGGGCGATATATCAATAATATATATTTAAGCAATAGCTCACGACAGGCCGTGGTATATAGGGGGTTGTCGACCCTCCGCTTCGCGTCGGGCCGAACCACGCCCCTTAGCTGTGATATAATGAGCATATATCACGGCCTGAAGTGAGCTATTGCTTTTATAAAACGGTTACCAGGTGTGGCAATATGAAAGAAAAATACACACTCTAATTTAAATAGTTTTTATTAGTAAATAATGATGTTCAAAATAAAATAGTCCCTCCGTTGCCTTCTGCACAAAACATAGTGCAAGGTGGTTGCTATGCAACAACACTAACAGCAAGCGAACATATTAGACAGAGAGCGTTGATCCATTATTTGGCTGTTTATTTACATTAATGTGTATGTTGC